AGAGGGGCGGGAGCTCTGATGAGACCTTTCCTGATGTACTTGGAGGAAATCGTTTAGGTGCCCACGGCAGTGTGAAGTGTGCATGTGTGATGTGGCGTCGCCCTGTGTTTCTTTGGGGTGAAGAGGATGGAGGGAGCAATCACTGTCTCCTCTGGTGTGGGGAGCAAGGGGCACAAAGAAACAGAGGGATCCATTCCACTGCTTCTCAGCCAGGTCTGAGAGTGGAGCAGTTTTGCAAACAGCAGTCCACAGAGAGGATGCTGACAGTCCTTGCTTCTGGATGAGCTTTGGGGTTCCAGGTAGAAGAAACCGCAAATCGTGCCCTTGGCCCAACTCCCTTGTTCTCATAAGCCCCGCATGGCAGAGCCTCCCTGCTCGGGCCTCCACAGCGTCCCAGCTCAGTCCTCCTGTGTTGTCAATCCCCCTCCTCCTCCCTTCTAACTCCTTTCTCTAAACAGTCATTTTCCCATATCCTCTCCTTCTTTCCCCCTTTTCTTTTTCCTTCTTTCTTTTTTCCCAGGACCAGCAGTTACCCATATTGTCCCTTTTCAATTTGACAAGTTTCTCGCCTCATCTCCTGCATATCAGGGCTTTCTCTTCATCCCATTCATTCTCCTTAGAGGAAGGGAGAAGCAACAGAAGAGTGAGTTCTTTTCCTTCAGGAAGGAGGAGGAAAAAGGTGGGCGACTGCAGTGTTAGAGTGCCGCTAGCTTTGGGCTGTTCCAAAGTTTCTGAACCCCAGCACACACCTGCTGAAAGAATGATTTCATCCTGAAGAACTGCATGTGTTACACCTGAGCACTGGAAGCCTTCCTTGACATATGTTCCATCATGTTTCTTGCAAGTCAATAACCCCTGTTCTTACATATTGAGGACATTTAATTCACTCTTTATCAGAGCTTTATTAACAATTTTTCTTATGTTGACCAAAAATAGACGTACGTATCTATCCTCTACCTTATCAACTGATTAGGGAGAGAAATAACATAAATTCTTTGAAGGCAGAAATATTGTTTATCACTGTATCCCCTCAGTTATATATTCTATTATCAAGTTCAGTCAGGGCCACAAAATCTGGGGATGTTGACGAACCAAGCGAGCAATCTTAGCACATATATAGGAACTGTTTTTTTTATGCACTCTAGCTGGTTATCGTGACCTGGAGGCAGGGAGATTAGACAAGGCAGTATTGTGACGGAGTTATTGCCAAAGTCCTTCAGTCTGACACCACCTAGAATACTATTTCTTGTCTAGACACAAGTACAGACACATACGAGTCTGTCCAAAGTTAAGGTCAAATACATTACCAATTTTCCATGGCCTATATGGAGAAAAAGGGACTGAAATGATACCTGTGGTCTTCTCCCCATGTTCCCTTACAACCTTCATTATGCACCTCAATGTGGATCCACCCCTTTGACCGGAAACTTTGACAGGAAATGACAGGAAGGGAGGCAGCCGAGGAGAATGTGCCAGGAGGATGTACCCTTTCTGAGGCCAGGCAGCAGAATCAAAGCCTACCAGAGCAAAACACCACGCCGCTACCTTTTCTCCAGTGAGCTCTCTTCTTAAATGTGCAGAGGTATGATTAAAAGGAATGGCTTTGAAGAGCCAAGGAGGGTTATTGTAGAAAAGTAATATTCTAAAATGAAGGAAGATAATAGCCCAAAGGAATGCATTGAAATTCATCAATTCACCTTGCTACTCTTGGCATATTTGTTTCACATGGTGCTATTGCAAATGTATTACAACCATCAGCAACCTGTTTGAAGCTTGAGGAATATAGAGACATCTGTAATGGTGTAGAAATGTTAAAGCAGAAGTGGACATTTTAAGGAGGAATTCTCAGATATTCAGTGTTCATATTTTTAATGGAACTGTTGATAACCTTGTTATCAATCAATAGGGTGCTGACTATACAATGCATTAAACTTGGCTGTAGTCAAATGAGTGACAGCCAGAGAGGGTGCACACACAGTGTACTTGGTAAAAATGCTATTTATTTAAAGTATTAGAGTGGCCATTATGCTCAAGTACAAAGCTTTGATCCTCTCAGTAAATTTAATCTAGAAAGTATAAAATGCTTTAGACTGTTAAGTTTCAGCAAGACCCAGGGTGCTCTCAGAGTTTTTACCTAAGATAGTGTTAAATGTAAAAGCTAGTTTTGACATATTCACACATAAATAGGAATAAGTTTTTAGGTTGTTTCTGTGATTCTTTTCCATTACTAGATACTTGTGGCTAAGGATATAGTGAATTTATAAACTCTTCAAACTCCAGCTACTTTGGAAGTTTTCAGTGTATGTGTATGTGTATGTTATTCCTATTTAGAAAATTAAAACTGAAAAGAATTCAAGTATTGTATTGTTGCTACTTGTATGACTTTAGAGATAAAATTTTAATCCCATCTCTCCTGTATCCTGTATGATCTTAGACATTTCTTTAACTTCTTCAAGACTCTTTTTCCTCATCTGGAAATGGGCGTCATGATTCCCTAACTTGCAGAATGGTAATAAGGATGCAGTAAATAATGCACTGAAGTATGTAGGAAGAGTAAGTGCCTCTTCTGTGATAAAACAAAATTTTGTTGCCTTTCCCTTTCCTTATGAAAAATACATTAAAATAATATCAAATATAGATAAAGTCCAACACTTATAGGAATCCCTTAGCTATAAGGAATCTTAGACATTCTATGGTTTAGTGAATCTTAGAATTTCTTTGATTTATAAACCACTTTGAGAATCTGAAAGCTATGATCCTTCCCTTTCCAAAAATGCATCTATATACAAAAATTAGTACATCCCCTGGAATCTACTCTTAACCCCATCTTTCATCAAAAGGTAGAAAAATTAAGGAATATAAATGATATGCTCATGAGAATTAAAAATCATTTTGAGAAATCTTTTTCAAAAAAGTCTTTCATTAGTAATTTAAGGGTACAGCATTCATTAGTTAGTTGAGCAATGTTCTCTGGATATACCTAATTTCATTGGTGAATTTTGCTGTCTAGTCCTATGTTGGTGTGATAGTGATAGAAGAGTTATTTGCAATCCCACAAAAGTTAAATAAAATGAGATAGGTATTCATTTTATTTTTAATATGTTTTTCCAAAAAGAAATTATACTACTGCCTTATCAATAAATACTGAGTACCTCCCTTGGTCCAAAGCTTATTCAGACTTTTGAGAACATAAGATAAGAAGACCCAGCTTCTGACTTTGATCTGGGCACAGTCTAATAACAGGTTCAAGAGCCTGTAACAGGGGAACTGAGGGAGAAGAGCAACTCATTCAGTTCCAGCACATTGATAAGGTCCAACATGTCAGGCAGCATTCAAGTTTTATCTTGAATAACGAGTAGATTTCCAGGCCTAGGACCCAGGTATCCTAACTCCCAGAGCATGTGGATTTTACATTGCTTAATTATCTTTTTAGCTTAGTAATTAACTTAAACTACATAATGGATGGCTCAGTGAAGGCCCGCCCCTGGTTTCATCAGCCAGGCATGATCATTTTCTGAGCCACACAGTCTCCAAACCTCATGGTCATTCACCTCTCTGTCCTGCAATTTCTGGTCACTCACAAGGACTTGCACAATTGTTTCATCAAAGTGTCCCTGCACACTCCTCCTTTTCTGTGCTCCCACTACCATCTTCCCACCGTTCTCCATATTACTAGGTCTGATTCCCAGGATCCATGTCACCCACCTCACCTGTCCTTCCATGTTCTACACAACCACAAACACATTTTCCTATAATTAATTATTCTGAAGACTGACTAAGAAACATGTGCTCCATGTTACCTGTGGGATATAGTTATCCAGTCTGCATATTATCTTAAGGCCTACCATAAGGTGACACCACAATAAGCTTATCACCCATCAATCCCCAGCGTGTTTCTACTCTAGCCAAGTGAGTACAAGGCCCAGATACTGAGAAGCCACATCAAATTCAGGTCTCACCTTCACCGTTTATTGGCTCTTGCATTTCACCTCTCAAAGCTTGCTTTCTTATCTATGAGTTATCTATGTAAATAACTACACAACCTAAAGAAGTCAGGAAAATCAGTGTGGTGACACATGGGAAGAGCCTGGCACTGTAACAGACACATAATCGACTCTTAATAAATGGCAATATTTGTAAGCATCATTGTCATCACCTTCCTCTGAAACGTACCACATCTAATATACAAGCATTTCTAGAAACCTCTCCTTTTCTGTGTGTGATCACAAGTCTGAGTGAACACCTAAGTGTGTGAGTTGCAATGGGAAAGGGCTTGAGACACAAAAAGGGAAGACCCAGAGACTCCATATGAGACGTCAGGGACTTACACCTAGGTAGGCTAGGAGCCCTGGCTGGACAGGGTTGCTCACTGCAGTCGCGGACAGAGGGGGTATCTGCTTATATAGGGTGAGGGGACAGAGATTACATGTGGGCCAAAGAGGGTACACAATTGATGACTATACTACATGTTATGCTAGAAGGAATCATTCTTGTGCAGCTAGCCAAGGAGTGAAACCTTTGACAGATCTTCATCCAATAAGGCGTGTCCATCAGTAAAGCAGGCCTGGATTTGGCCAGCTCAGGCCATCCAGTACCTAGCATATCACCCAATGGCTATTATGGGACAAAAGGTTGTAAGCAGGCAGTGCATGTCCCCACATCTTCTCACCCAGGTCATTTGTTACCACTTTAGGACATGCTTCAGGTCCTGCTCACCTTCGCACTAATTCCTTCCCCAAAGCTACCTGCTCTCAGCAGCCTCTCACAGCTCCTGCATTACCACTGTTTGTCTTATGTCGTTTCCAGACTCTTCTTAAGGGTCTTATCTTCCTTACCAGGCTGATAGCTGTAGCTGCCCCCACGTGGAGCAGACTTTCATGTGAAGTCATGAGCCTCCTTGACTTCTCCCTTGTTTGAGGATGTTGAAGTGGATGGAAGATTGAGTGGTTGATGTCTGAAGAATCCTTTTGGTAGTTTTTTGGAGTGTGAGTTGTTCGGAGTCTGAGGCTGAGATCAGGGACGTATCTTACACTTTCCACAGCTAAGCACACTGTAGCCACTCAACTGTGTGGTGTTTGGCAGACTGGTTTCCTGAAGAATCATTGTACTCGTTGATCCTGGTCACAGGCAAGCAATGGCTTTGCATCCTGCAGGAGAATCTAGTAGGAGGTGTACCCAGATTGGGGGATGGGAGCCCCTACATGCATCACCCTGTGACCTATATAGTAAGCTTGTAATAAATGTTTAATGAATAGCACCAGCCATAAGCATTGTTTCACTGTATCATTTGTCCCTTTGGAACAAGTTAAGAGCAAACGGGAGAATTTCCTCCAAATTTGAAGGCTGAAGTTTTAGGGAGAATTTGAAGGAAAAGATCTGTTGCAAAAAAAAAAAAAAA